CTGATTGATTTCGCATGTTTTTGTCTTGGTCTATCCACTGACATAATCAAAGATTATATAGCTCTCAAAGCAGCAGTATTTATATAATAAACTGTACATAGAGAATCAGTGCAGTGAGGACAGAAAGGCTCCTTTAAAAGAGGGAAATAGCTAATTATTTGCATGTTAAAACCTTCATAGAAATAGCTATGGTTTCACAAATTAGAATTCCATCACCAGCATCCTCTTAGACTAGCCAAAATAAATCTTTCCCTCAGTAAATCTGGACTATGATGATTATCAGGTTACAAGGTACAATAACCCTGGAAAACACATTACTTTGCTTAGTTGTTCACTTTTTAAGTTTTGTATATAATCAAGCAAAAAGGAGCAAATTGGGTGAAGCAGCTGCAGTGAGAGGGAGGAAATCATTACTCCTTTTTAAACTGCACTAAATTCTTTTCTCATTCATAGTGATAAACCTTGGTACCATTCCATTAGCTACTGTGACCTTCTCTCATTTTACATCCTTGTAACTAGCAACATAGTCTGGCAGATGTGCAGGTATTACTATCTCTTGCAAACCCAGAGGAGCGATACATTTTCATGGTCTCAGCTTTGTTTAGAAAATACATTGGCATATAGAGACTACATAGTCAGGTCATGCAGACAGACAAAATGTAACAGTACGGAGAGGGTGTGATGGAGAATTCCCAGCGCAGAAGCAGATACGGGCTGTTTCAGCTGTGAACATAAGCTACACCACCTAATTTCTGGGCAGTTCTAGTTTCCACCAGCTGAAACAACCAGCAAAGGACTGCACAGCTGGCTCAAAACCACTGGAATCATCGGCCAGTGCAGTCACCTGCATTGTGTTAATTTAGGAGCAGGTGTTACAGAACCAAGATAAATGGTCTTTACTCTCCTGATTGACTTGCTGAGGCAAGGTTTTCTACGAGCTGCTGCTCAAGATAGAAATTTATCTCTTTTGCTCTATGTCAGGTTTGTTCTGATCCTTTTTCTCTCTTATGTCTGATTTAAAGTCTCAGAGGTACAGAGAAGCAGTATTATGGGAGACGTGTCAAAGGAGGGTTGTAAATGCAGCTTATGGCTTTAGGAGAGACAGTCAGAAGGCTGGTGGAACTTAACACTGCAAGTGAGACTGGAAAGAGGACGACCAATGACAGTAATCAAATGAAGGTTTAAAGTTAAATAGGAATGTTCTTAATGGAGAAGTCTAAGAAAAACTGACAAGAAAGCAGGATTCACGCCAAACACCAAGGTTAAAGTCCTGTAACTGAGAGGACTCCCTAGTGGTGAAAAGTCTACCTTTAAAGAGCAGCATCAGCATAAGCATATAAGACCAAAAAAAAAAAAAAAAGAAGTGTATATATATATATGAAATTATGGTATTTTCAGGAAGGACTTTCCCTTCTTGGAACCTTGAATTTCTTACTCTTCCCCTATGGATGGGAAACTGTAACAAGAAGAGCAATTTATCATTTGCCCGAAATTAGTTGTCAGATAAAATGTAGATTATTTTTGACAAATTGGAAAAATTATAACTTAGTGTGATGGACGCTATGTCTGTCAGGTCTCTATGTGTCAAATGACTGAGCCTAATTACAAATCTGCTGAACCCAGTTCATTCATTTTATTCACCAACAGTGCAGAACAGTTTATTAATTTCCTCCCTTACACGTCTCCTATCAAGCAATCTGCTTAGTGACTGCCCAAGAAAGTAATTTCTGCAGAGTCCAATGCTTTTGACATGACCACTTGTGCCACCATTACTACTTCTCTATTTGTTTTCCCCTCTAGAACCCTGTTCCTACAAAAACTGCTCTAAAGTGCCTACCTATAATCCTGCCTGCTTTTCCCAGAACCAGAATAATAGTCGTCTGTGTAATTTCCTCTCTGAGAGAACCATTCATTCCCTTTCAAACTTTTCTTTCAATTATTTACAACAGGAGTGCTGGAAAGATGCAATTGTAGCCCTGTGATGACTAAGCGCTCTTATCACAGAGCTACTATACTGCTGCAAATAACCGCCTTTGTAATGTCAGAAGAGTCATGGTCAACACACATTCATTTGCCAGGAGAACCAGTGATAAATGTTGTTAACTTAGAAAACGCCTGACAGTTTGTCCAAACAATCTGACAACAACTATGATCTGGAACCATAACAGATGGATGTCCGAAGTTCATGCAGTGAACAGTATGGAAAAAGATCTATGCCACAATAAAAATAGGATAAATACCTTAATCATTACAATGCATCAGACTTTCTATGGAATATGTTACTGCCATAACATTCCTTCTGGGAAGAGAAAAGCACTGACACTCCAGCTTCTTCTTTTCAGGGAATATGAAATAACACTGTTGTTATTTCACTTAGTTTCTTCATTTTTGTCCTGCTGGAAAAAAGACAGGCTTTTCCAAGCATGCTAGTTCAATAAAACAGTTAAACATGGCTGAAAAATGCTTTCCACATAGTCTACCATGTTAGCCAGCCACACGGTAGCTCAGTTGGGATCCTTAATTTCAGGTATATAAAACTTCCTGCAGTTTCTACCCAAAACTATATTTTACTTCAGGGCCATAATTATTAGTGATTCAACACACAAATTTCAATCATGTAAGGAAATACACCTTTTTGCCCAGTTTTACACCAAGAGCCTTTGTACCACCCAATGGCTGTCTACTTGCCCTGAAAAAGGAATTTTGGAACGATGAAGTAAAACTCTTGCTCACCACTACGAATTAGTTTAAAAACCTGCTTTAAACGCAATGTATATTGCTCTTCCTATGTCACGTTGCTATTCCATTTCTTCTCTTTTTACTTTAAATGTTAGTTACTAAATATACTTTTCCTGTACTGGTTCAAGGTGCCTTCATAGTCCATTACAACCAACCGGCTGAAATGCTGCATCTTCTGTCAAGGAGAAAGATACTACAGCTAATGACAAACTCTGTAGATAAGTTTCATGTTTCATATAAAATCTTCAGTCAATTCTTGTTGCCAGTTATCCCTAAGAAAACAGTCTGGATTTCAACAAATCAAGTTAATTTACATGAACAGAAAAACACCTCAATAGTAGTAGGGTATAACACTTTAAATCCTTATTTATGAAAGACTCCATTTATTCATCTCTGATGGGTTACTTAAACTGTTAATTAATGTTTACTAGGGGATGTCCTAGAGAAGAAAAGAGGTGGCTTTTATGGAAAAGTCATCCTGAACAAACCATGTAACTGCATTTGTCTGTAGCACATCTAAAACACTGAGTACTGCCTTATGTAAGTTATGATAATCATCTTGTTAGTCTTGTAACAGGAGATGTTTTAGTCCCTTGTTTCAGAACTTCTGG